ACATATGATCTACTTCACAGTAATAGTAAAGCAATGTCTTTCAAACCTGTAATCACTTTGGTTCAGTGGATGCTGTACAGTGGTTTTTCTAGAAAAATATAATATGAGGGCAATACTGTGGCGCTGATCTTGTATATAAGACATATCAATTATTGCGAGAACATGACGCCCTTATACAAGATGGAGCCGCGGACATAAACAACAATAGGACTTCGGAGCTCCGTAAAAACAAAGCTGTCCATGCCGTCTGAAGATCTATTTGACAAGATTTTCACTTTTTTGGAGTAATTATACCTTTTTTGACGAGCAAAAACATTGTTTTCTATCATCACTTCACACAGCATCTTGGTATGAGGGCGCAGGGCCCCTGTTACCCGGTTTAGACAAAACCCTTCTGTAGATATGAAATATGAAATTAACATCAGAATCAGAAATGCTTTATTTGTCTCGCAACGGGGAAATGTACACGACAACAACATCTATTTGTTGCTCCTTTTTAAGTTGATTAAAGTTAGGTTGTTCCCAAACGATTCCTGAAAATGTTTCCAAAAAACATGTTTATGGACATTAGCCTAGTATAATGATGGCACTTAATCAGTTCTAGCTCTAAATCAGAGTTGTCACAGTGCTATGATATATTTTCCTCAAATGTTTTCTGCTGATAAAGTCTTGGGAAGGTTATTTTTTAAACAAAACATCTAGGCTTCCTTTGGCTGCTGCTCGTCCCAGCAGGATCAATGAAGTAACTGATGTAGCAACACACTCTGTTGTCGAGCACTTCCGATAGTTGTTTATTTACTTAACTCTAAACCTCTAAAGTTCCACATATCCTCTGGTATTCATACTCGTCCTGATTATTGGCAGTGACGCATGTGTACAGTGTCTCACTCACGTTCGCACAATTAGGAGGGTGCTAATCTCACATAAAGGGGAGAAATCCAAAAGCCCACTGCAGAGGCTTCCTGATAATATTGAGTGTTTTCTATGTGCTGTACTTCAGGTCAGTGGGTTTATGTGTACAGTATCTGTCCCACAACAACGTTTCTTATGCAACTGTTCCCCGGGCTAATGGAATATAACTGTTCTCATGTGTCAGAATTTCCATTTTGTCATCAGACATTAACTTCCCCTCTCGTTTATAGATTCTCATTGGGAAGTTCGTTACAGTGTTTCTCCCCAGCCGCTGCTTCCCCCCCAATCTTCTGTCTCTTCTGCTTTTGTGGACACAAATACATTTGGGAAAAAACTCTGTGCTCAATGCACTTTGATAACCTAAGTTACTTATTCAAAAATCTCGGAATGTTTTATGGCGAGCGTTCTTTGCGTGGAAACCTTGGATTCTTTTTACTTTCTGTACGTGTGTGTGTGCATGTGATGATGAGTGTGTTGGGGAGTACAGAGGGTGAGAAAGGTCCATCGAAGTAACATTTGCGTGCGTAATACTCTTGTCAAAATCCCCAAATGCTTTGTAAATTCCACTTTCTGGATTGGATTTTCTTCTCTTACCAATTGGTAGAAGTGTATTTAGTGTGGATGAAGCTGATATAATTATTTTTCTTGTTGAGCACCCATCTCAAGAAAAAAACTCACAAATAGTTGTGTCTCCTAAGCCTGATGTAACTAATACAATGTGCCAAAGGCCTCCTCTGTTGTCCAAAAACAAGGACAAGGACAGTTCAGTAAGGCTTGAGATGAAGAGGAAGTATACTGGATAATACATAAACAGGATTTCTCCAAGTATGACAATATCAGTACATAATGTGTTAATGTATATTTATTTATGTTTTTCTGCAGCCTCTGACAGTCACAACACAGTTACTTATATGCATTATAAAGACTTTTCAGTCACAGCTCTTAATTGGTTTCACACTGTAAATAGTCTTACGATGTGGCATAATAGAGTGGTGCAGGAACAAGTCCTAAAACAGGGGCAAACAAACTTAGCGGGAGTGTTTACGTGTTCGGCGTAATGACGTACAACGTCCTCGACAACTTCTGTAGTCCTATTCAGCCACTTGTTAACAACCATCGCTTTTCAGACGCGTAAACTTTTCAAAAACCACCAGTGGGGTCAATGCTGATGTATTTAATGTTGTAGAACAAGACGTGATCCGTCTCTTCAATGTGTGTCAACCACAGACCTTATTTCGAGCTATTTTCCTAAATCCTATGGAGAAATCCCATTGATTCTGAGACATGGTAACCGGTAGTGGTAAAATGCTAACTCACTTCCGGGTTTTAGGACTCGTCACTGCACCACTATAGGACTACAGAAGTTGTCGAGGACGTTGTACGTCATTACGCCGAACACGTAAACACTCCCGCTAAGTTTGTTTGCCCCTGTTCTGCTTGAAAGCAAGTACCTGCGCTCTTGCAAACTGTTAAAACAAACGCTTCAACTTGTACAATCTGTATTTTTGAATATCGATCTTAAGTTGGCGTGAAGTTGAAGTCGTGCGACCCTGCTGTACTTGGCTGTAGTTAGTTTATAGCATAACGTTAGCATTTTGCTTCTGGGGATCATACATTTTAGCCATGCCTCATTTCGCTCTATTTGCTCTATTCCAGCCCTGTCTTCACAAGGGCTTATTCTGTGGCAAATGAGCTGCAGCTGACCACGCCCTCCTGCAAAGGAGGGGTGCGAGGCACGAGCGTCATGTTACCATGCTGTTTCCATGCAGTTACCATGCTGTTACCATGCTGTTATCATGCTACGCAACCCCACATTCCCCTGATAGGTGGAGAGTTGCCCATATAGGCGGAGCACCCCGTTTCTGACGTCAGAACAATTTCAAATCTGTATCAGTCTGTATCAGATAAGTTAAAGCCCCGTTTTTAGAGATTTGGGTATGGAGGAAAAGAGGGAGGGTTGTGTTTTCTGACACTTGGTGAGTTCCCTGACACACCGGGGACACATATTCATGTATAAAAGACGTACAAAAGTGCATTTTGCATGATAGGTCCCCTTTAAATCACTACACTGGCTCCCCGTGGAACTGAGGATCGAATTCAAGGTCTCCGTTCTCACCCACCAGTGTACCCATGGAACTGCCCCTCCCTACCTCAAGGAACTCCTCACCCCCCATACCTCCTTGCGGACCACCCGCTCCAGCAACTCCAACCTCCTCAGACTCCACAGGATCAAGCTCCGTACTATGGGAGACCGGGCAATCTGCTCGGCTGCTCCCAGTCTGTGGAATGCTCTCCCCGACCACAGAGCACCATAGACCGTGGAAACTTTAAAAAAAGGCCTCAAAACCCATCTATTCAATAGAGCCTTTCCCTAGACCTTTTTATTTATTACCACCCTTTTATTTTATTTTATTTGTATTTGTTTTGTATTGCTTTTTATTCATTCTACCGTGTTGTGTACTGTTTTTATAGTGTTCATGCTCACTGCTTGTAGCACTTCTGGATTTGAAGTCAAATATGAAGTGCTTTATAAATTAAACCCATTATTATTAAATAAGTTTCTATATCTTAACGCATAATAGTTGAAATGTTCTACTCTAACTGTGTTTATGTGGGCACCGTTTACACCAAGGCAAATTCTTCGTATGTGTTAACCTACTTGGCTCTAAACCTGTTTCTGATTCTGATTCTGAAAAAGAACATACATTAACAAGTCAGATGGTCACAGTGTGCTGTAGCTTGTTACGAAAAGCTTAATAGCTCATGCAAGGTTCACGTCTGCAGCAGGCATCAGCTGATGACATGATGCGTTTGTGACGTCTGTTTTTTTAAATGCATGGCATTCCTTTTACGCTCATTCCCACAAGCAACTCCTCAAGGGTCATATGCCAAATGTCACAGTATTCGTTACATGTATAAATAGGTGCGAACATGTATGTGTCAGACAGTGTAAATATGTACATGAAACAAGCAACAAATCATTAAGTCTGGAAAATGCAGTTCTCCTACAGGAGTTAAATCTGAGTTCATTTTCTTTCTCTTGACAAAGTGGAGATAACGAGCACGCAGCCAGAGTAGAGCAGCAGAGCTCACTTGGATGGTCTGCCTTCTCATTTTGCTGTTGCGTCACTCCATTCTCACATGGCCTTTCCTGTTAGACGTCAGACACCTGTCCATTCTCAGTTTGATGAATAAGCGGCCAGCAGTAGGGCCATGGGGGTGCAATGCATCATCACTCTGCATCACAAGATAATCATAGGGTGCCAGCGAGTGCATCATCAGAGAGCCTCGTCATCAGTTGGTGGAAGAGGGTGAGGCGTCATTAGAAGTCTTTAGTCCGGAAAACGCACTGGTTATTCTGCTCCTGTAATAACCCTGGAGTAGGGAGACTTAATCAAGTTGCTATCGAAATATTATAAAGATAAAACAGTATTTAGGAATACACAATGTTTTTATCCCACCATAATTATTATTAGCGGTTGTCACTGTTAAGGATGATTATTAGTATTATAGACAGGTATTAAGAGGTATTGCATATCTATCATTAGATTTAAGGATGCAAAAGGTTTTGTTTGTCACATGCTCATTCAGTATGTGCGAGAAATCTAGATTTGCATAAGGCTGTACCTACAATGCCTACGATAATCACATGTGAGAATTAAATACAACATGTCAAAATAGAAAAGGTTAATTCTACATTTATATCTAATTTAGTATGGCATTCCTTGCTCACTTAATGTAAATAATATCCTACTTTTATTTTGTGTTAGCTGTAAATTGGCCCTTCAATAGTGTTTTAATTGTCAAATAGTTAAAGTCAAGTCCTGTTTTATTTCGATTTTTGAAATGTTTATATTTTATAGTTGTTCATTTTCTACTCTTTTTCATTTCTAATTATGTGCAATGCCTTGTTTTTTAGCTTCTGTCACAAAAACATTTCACAATTTGGGATCCATAAAGTACATCTTATCTTATCTTGCTTTGCTTTAGTGGTTTCCTTCATATTTCTTTATCATAATGAAATATCGACCGACATGTTGACCGTAGATATAATATAAGTTATTGAAAAACATCAAGACAACAGACAGTTTAGGAAGGGAACTTTATTTAAATAAATAGCCACATAAATACACAATCTATCTGGAACTGACATTCTCTCTCCTTTCTCTCTCCTCCTCACTCACACACACACACACACACACACACACACACACACACACACACACACACACACACACACACACACACACACACACACACATGCTCACACGATCAAGTTACAAACCAGGAAATAGGATCTTATTTTTTTTTATCAAAAAAGAGAACTGCATCAAGAGTCTTAGCGTTTCAATAGTTTGTGAAGAATTGTTTTCGTAATGAGAAATAAAATATAAATAAAGTGCAATTTTCGCTTCTATTTACACAGCAAGTTCAAAGGTCCGATACAGAAGAAGAGAGAGAGAGGTCCGAGAAGGTCTCAAAAGGGCCATTAAGCTTCTTTCTTTAATGTAACGATCAGAGATGAAGACCTCAGATCAGGAGCTTGTTCAAAGGCACAAGTGTTTGTAGTGAGTGCAATAAACCAAAGTTGTTCTATAGAAACATCAACACTTTTTCCAAAGCAGAACTTGGTTTGCAAAAACACTGCTCTTCTACAAGTTGTTTCACAGATATGAGAGGGCTTAATAAGCTTATAATATTACACATCTCGTTCAGCCTTAAACTGTGTGAAGTTCAGCTTCCAGCACAACATAGTATTGCTATATCCTGACTTTTTTTTCTATTCTAGAAAAGTACAAAAATGAATACCACCATGGTAAGCTATGGGTATAGGTAGCACTTGTAGCTTCGGGATTTGGTGGTAGCCAGAGTTTTCCCATGGCAACAGCTAAGGAGATCATGTGAAATATGTTTGCTAACCACCTTGCTACATTTTGAGACAGCATTCAAAGTGAGTAGTCAGTAGTGTATCTGATAGATCAGCTATCTCTTGTGCTGTTTGCTCTTTGGTAAAACCCAAATTCTTCCTTTCAGTTAAAGAACTACAAGCATGCTGTGAGAAGAAACAACATTTTGAAATGCCTTGAGTCTTTTCTCTCAATTTCTACAGTAACATGTTATTATGTCACATAAATAGTACCTGTTCTAGACAGCTAGCTAGCACAGCAAAGAGATACATTACAAATAAGAACACAAACACCTCAGGCAAATGTACATTTGACCATCCTATATAAAGCCTTATGCTTCCTTGGTATTTCAATGTGAAATATTGCACATTTCCCACAGTCTTTGTTCTGTGCATTTGAAAATGTTGTTTCCTCTTATATACTGGGATTGACACCATTTTCTTCGGGAATTCTTTTTACAGGTTTCTAATTTGTTGCCTGTGGAGGTAGTAAAAGCATCTAACGGGAAGGTGTTTATCAAACAAGGGAATACGGATCAGTGTATCCACATGTGTAGGGTGCCACCAAGCTGAAGGAATGTACCTGTTGTGCTTTACTCAATCAGTGAGACACCATCGTCCTTCAGTTTTGGCTGATGAGGATGTAGCAGTCTTTTGCGGCTTGAGGTAAAAGCAGCATTTGCGTAACTATAATTATCTTGCACAGAAGAAAAACAAATCACAGTTTCAATACAAATGAACTCCTTCAATGAAGCTTTGGACACTATACTGCATGTTAATTGCTACAGAGAGATGTCTCTTTAGAAAGGCGAACAAAGTGGAAAGAAAATCATTTTGGTCTTCTGTCCAGTCAATTGAAAAACATAGAGAACAGGAAATGACACAAAAGTGTCTATAAACAAGAAGGAAGAGGGAGCCTTCCTGTATTCAACAAAGGTCACGTCTCAGAAAAACTGCATCAAAGCACGGGAGACGCAACTTTATCAGCTACCGTCAACTCCATTTCATTCAAGTGACACTATCATCAGGGCGCTGCCTTTCAGTCTATTATTGCTTCTCTTGCTCTCTGATACGGGTTTAGCGCCTTGTCCAGAGTCTGATTATTGCTTAGCCTTTAGCTTATATGCTATTAAAGTATACCCAACATACACATTCTCCCATGTGTACCGCATGTTGTTAAATAAAGTGTTCATGTGTCGCTTGCATCTGCTTTTGTTCTTCTTCCTCACTTCTGCTTTTTTTCTTTTTACGGCTCCAAATCTTTATCTTCCACAAAGAAAAACATTTCTGGTCGTGATCGTTTTACTTCACCATCACACAGCTACTGAGCTGCTGCTGGGTGGACAGACACGAGTCCTGCTGGTCCGGGTCTGTGCTGGAGGCCGAGTCCGCGCTCCACGCCCCTGGCTTGGACATGATGGGGAAGGTGCCTTGTGTTGTCGACTGGGGCAGCTGTTGGAGGCCGATGTGGGAGGGAGGGGCGGTTTGCTGGCTGATGTGCAGACGAGCCTCAAGGAGGTAAGCAGCGGAGGCCACGGGGGACAGAGAAGAGGCGTAGCAGGCTGAGGAGGATGATGAGGAGCAGCCGGAGGAGGAAGTCTCCAAGCTCTGTTTCCACGGACTGTGCTCTAAACCCACTGACGTTTGCTGAGGAGGTAGGGCGGAGGGGGTAGGGGTGTCAAAGATGGACGAGGAAGCAAACACTGTAGTAGGTGGAGGAGAGGGTGACGGCTGCCGGGCGAGAAACAGCAGGGGATTCTGGGTAGATGCGATCGGAGCAGCTTGGACCAGAGGCTGAGGTTGGATCTGGATCTGTAGCATCCTGAAAAATAGAGACAGAAGATCAGACTATTAACATCAGGGCTGTAAAGTCTGACCTGATTGGCCACCTCAGACATCAACATCAACAGTGTGCTCTTGAGTAATATTGCTCACGTTTCTCACCTTTGCTGGTGCAGCACCTCCTCCAGCATGCTGCGGTGTTCAGAGAGCGCCGGACCCAGAGACCCTCGGCTGCCGCGGTTACAGGAGGGGGGAGAAATGACTTGCCTCGTCAGACCTTTGATCTTATTTAATCCCAGAAGCCCTTTGGTGCGTGTGTTTTTCCTCAGCTGCTGCCGGAAAGCTTTGAGGCCTGTGAAAAGACAATGGAAAGTTATTGAAAATGCTCCTTTGATCGCATAAAGTGACAAATTATTAAAAAAAAAGAGGATGAATCAGAGTGGATGAATGCACTGTACCTTGTGAGAGGGAGGTGTCAGAGGCTCGGCGACCCTCCTGGAAGCTGACAGCGGGCAGACTGCCCTGGGCCTGGGGCAGGAGGTGGGAGGAGAGGGTCAGGTGGGTCTCAGCAGGCAGCAGGGCTCCACTTTCAGCACGAGAGGCCAGAAGTGTTGACATCCCACCCATAGCATCCTGCAAAGTGTGGGCTTGACTAGACGAGGACTTCAGACAGCCGTCAGAAGAGGCACCATCGGAAGGACAGACCACGATGCCTACAGAAACACAACAGGCAAAACAATTAAAACGTTGGATATCCAGCAGTGGGCATCAAAATGTGCTGTATAGTGAAGCCTTTCAAACTAATGGTTTATGTATAACATACTTACATGGAGGGTTGCACTGGTGGAAACGGGCCGACACCTCAGCCAGTGTGTGTCTGCGGGAAGTTGTGCTGGGAGGGAGCAAAGGCGCAAAGGTTTGTGTTGCCTCCTCTTCCTCCAGGTCTCTGGGTCGCACCTCTTCACTGATGCTGGTCTCCAGCAGGCTGTTGGGGGAAATGGAGCGGTTCCAGAGCAGTCGGTTTAGGCTGGCCTCCACTGGAAACACCACACGCTGAAACACAAAGAGAGGGACCGTTAGTAGGAGATAATGGCGAACTCTCGTAACACTGAGCTGCCGACAGTAGAAGGCTGTCAAATGTAATCCATTTTTACCTGAAACAATCCAGCTTGGTCATACTCCATCTCCGGGTACACTGGAGCAGTGCTTTGGGCAGGAATGGAAAATGCTGTAGATGTAAAGCTGTCAGCTGACTCCATGATCGCCTAGAAACAAGCACAAGGCACACAACGTTTTAGAATCCAAGTATAAAGTGGCAGGTTACATCACAATGAAATGGAGGGCTACAGGAGATAGACAAGTCATAGAGAGTGCACTTTTGATCTGTACACTATCCTTTTTGCCAGCCTCTCTAATCCGACGTTGTATGACAATCAAATTGCTGGAGTGCTCACCTCTGGGCCGGGGGAGTCGGAGGTGCTCCTGGGTCTCTGGCTCCAGGTCTGCTGGCGGCTCAGCTGCTGGCTGCGGTGCTCTCTCACTCTCTCCAGCAGCAGGTAGTAGATAGCAGAAAAGTGGTTGTAGCTGCTGCTCTGCAGAGACTGTGGAAGAGGACAGACAGCAGATTAGTGGTGTTGCCGTTATCTTTCTGTGGCTCTTAATGCCAGCTTGTATCTGTCACTTTCTCTCTTTACAGCTTACTTTAGCTCTTCTCATCTTTATTGTTAGAGTTAAAGCAACGTCTGTGTTCAAGCTTGCTGCCCTTGTTGAGTAAAATCTCTTTGGAGACGACATAGTAACAATTGAATCTTGAATTCACCTCAATAGTTTTTTGGCGGTCGATGCCCAGTGTGTTCATGATGCCCAGCACTGGTTCACTGTAGTCCCCCAGGTTGGAGTTGTACTCTGTCAGGGAGTGGCTGAGGGTCTGGTGGGCGGCTGTGGGGTCTGCCAGCATCCAGCGGTGCTGCTTGATCTGGGCCATGGTGATCCTCCGGGACGGGTCCACCACCAGCATCTTACGGATCAGGTTTTCACAGTCTGGAGGACGGAAAACAAGGAATGAGTCTTGGATTCACAATTCTTGGAAGATTAGACAGTATTTTTTATGATTGTGTTGCCGTTATACCTTGAGACATGAAGAAAGGGATTCTGAATCGGCCCTCAGTGACTCTCTGTCTCAGTGCAGGAAGGCTGGGTCCATCAAATGGAAGCGAGCCGCAGACCAGAACATAAAGCACCACACCAAGGCTCTGTGTAGAAAATAGCAAAACGGAGAACTTAAGCATATGAAGGAAAAAAATGCTGGAATTAATAATGCTGTCTATATATTACTTCTATCAGCTTACCCATATGTCCAGCTGAGGCCCCTCATACTCTTTCCCTTCAAACACTTCAGGGGCAGCATAAGGCGGGCTGCCACACCATGTAGCCAGGGGCTCCCCTGCATTATAGAAGTTTCCGAATCCAAAGTCTGTAAGACACAGAAAGAGATACACAAAACTGTTATTATTCAAACTTCTCAGTTTTCTCTGTTTCCAACATGAGGAGCTCATCGCGCTGAAAGTGATGATGCCTTTCAGTGTATTTGTCAGTGTCATGTCCTTATCATTGTCGAAAGACCAGATCATAATGAGCTTTAATATATAGTTTCCCACACATGAGACAGACAGGGGTATGAAAAGATAATATTAGATTCAAAACATGCTTTCTAATAAAAACAAATTAACCCTTTTAATCAAAGTCACAAACCACCAGACCTACCAGCTATTTTGATGTTCATGTTGGCATCCAGCAGCAGGTTCTCGGTTTTAAGGTCACGGTGAACAATGTGGTGTTGATGGCAATAGTCCACAGCTGTAAGAATCTGCCAAAACTTCTTTCGCGCCTCATCTTCACTCATGCGGCCATTTGTCTTCAGGTGGTCTGTAGGGAGAGAGGATATATTCAATGCCAAGTTTCTGACTTGAAAATGTATATTATTTTATCTATTGGAGAACATATTTGGCCAATATTCATTTTAAAAGTAAAATATTAAAAAAATCGAAAGCTGAACTCACCAAACATTTCTCCATTCTTCGCATACTCTGTCACAATGTACAGCATGTCTTTGGTCTCCATGACCTAAGCAAAAGGAAACAAGACAGAGTTTTAACTGACTATGCCATTGGCAGCTGGCTATGACGCAGCGTAAAACCAGTTCCAAATTCATCTGTTTAGCCCGCTCCAGGCATCTCTTGGCATAAGAATGTTCTAACCACCAAATTCCTCGTCTCATTATTCCCTGTATCAATTATGTTAAAAACACACCCAAAACGGAAATGTGTAAAATGCATATCTTTCGCATAGAGATGTTCTTCCTGAGGCTGACACTAGTTGGCAACCGTCCTAGTGTTGTATTGTCAACTCTACTCCCCCTATCTCTTTAATTCCAGGAAACTGAGAGACAAATTCACATGGGGCAGTATTCACGTGTACATCTAGTGCAGGGGTGTCAAACTCAAGGCCAAATCCGGCCCGCGACTTCATTTTATGTGGCCCGCAAGAGCTTGCAAAGAATATAATACGTTTATTATACAGTTAAATGCCGCTTTACAGAAGCAGGTTGCCCATTAACTACATGTCCCACAATGCATCTCGTTTTGTGACATGCTCACCGAAGAGACTTGCAATTATTTGCCCTGGACATCTGCTTTCAAACGTAGTTAGTTATTACCCTATCCGATAATAATCCAATTCAGAGGCAATAATGTAATAATACATTATTTTATATATATATTTTATATTTATATATGTATATTTATATAGTTACAACTGGCCCTTTGAGTGCAACCATAATGCTAATGTGGCTCGCAGTGAAATTGAGTTTTACNAAAAAATAAACAATGTTTTGTTGCTTAAGCTTATGTATTCAGTCATTATTCAATGGTATACTAAAATCCATGTGAAAAAAATTGCTTCTCACTGTTCTCAGGTCAAATATTTATATGCGATTAAAAATGCGATTAATTGCGATTAATTAATTACAAAGCCTGTAATTAATTAGATTAATTTTTTTAATCGAGTCCCGGCCCTAAATATAATACATTATTTTATATATATATTTTATATTTATATGTATATTTATATAGTTACAACTGGCCCTTTGAGTGCAACCATAATGCTAATGTGGCTCGCAATGAAATTGAGTTTTACACCGCTGGTCTAGTGTATCAGAAACACCATGAGTGCAATCACTCAATACACTCTTTGCACTATGTAGGCCGGAAAGACGCAATTCCCAATTCATTCCTTGAGCTCATAAAAAGCTCCCATTCCCCAGGAGAGCCCTCAGGAACAGGGCAGCTGAGCAGAAAGGTTGCAATACAAAGACATTTTTTTTTTTTCAGAAGACAAAGCCCTTTCTGGGAAAAGCTGCTGTGAATCAAATGTCACAAAAGTAAACTGAATACTCCAGCTTAATCTTTTTCATCCACCAGCCCCTTTAGAAAACCAAGAGAAGAAGGATTCAATCCACCGCTCCTCAAAGCGGG